TAACCCGATTCGCAGCAAATTCTCAGTTATATAGATGACGTGGGAGCTGTCTAAAACAGACATAACTGCATCGAATACAGCTTGTCATGGGTGCAGGCGGCTTGATGCAGCAACTGACGGCAAGAATAGACCTTGCTGTAATCGAAAGTTCAGGGTACTGCGAGAGCAGAGAAGGCATACATGGTGTGGCTGGTGAGGTGGCTTCGGTTGCTTTGCGTATTCGGTACAATGGAGCCCGTAAAGCTATAGCGCAAACTGGAAGATACAAAGGCTGGAGAATGGTGAATCGAAAGAAAGTTGAAAATATGACTACAAGTCCGCAAGCAAGTTCTTCTTTCTGATAATCCGCTCCATGTGGATTAAGATCAGGTACTGTCCGAGTGTGAAGACTTCGAATGTACGCGAAGAAGATATCTTCTCTTGAATACTCTAAAGTTCTCTTAAATCTAGTCTCTTCTAGTCGTGGTGGTAGCTACTGAATTGCATTTAGGACGGGAAATATTCTCTGCCGCTGAAATGACGGCTGCTATTAAATCGCTGGAAGGGGGGCAAAGTTTGAGCGTTGACAAAATTTGACTTGAGATATTCAAAGCCTTAAATCGCGATGGTATCTTGTGGGTGACTCGGGCATTCCAGATTGTGTTGAGTTCGATCAAAGCGCCAAAGTGGCATATTCCGGTGTGGTTATTCTTCTGTTCAAAAGATGGATTGGCAGTGCGACATCTCTCCTCAGCTTAGCCGTAACCCGTAAAGTCTACGCAATGTTTAGAAAGGAGATGCCAAGAAATAGTATAGAAGATTCTGGACAAGTATGTTTGCTGAAAATGTTCCTCTCCGGGAAACTCTCGTTGTGCTTGAAACGTAAAGATTTCGATCAGTGTGAGCTCACAGTACTAACCTTTGCGTGAGGTGGATCCGAAGCCTGAAAGGTATTCATAAACCGCAGACTACGCAGCGCAGTATGGAAAGGCCTATGTTGAATATAAAAAGAAAAATGGAATGATGAACGAATGTGTAAGAGTGCAAACGAGAATGTGCGATGTCATTGTCCGAATCAGGAAGTTAGGGTGGCAATGGGCAAGACATATTGCAAGAACCTTTGAAAGTTTAAATATCTCGAGTCGACATTAACTAGTGGTGATTAGCAAGACATCGAAACGAATATGTGAACCAGTCAGGCCGGCGCCGTGATGCGCTAGTTAATCCGGTCTGTAGTGATGAAGAAAGAGCTGAGCCGTATTTCGAAGCTGTTAGTTTTGCGGTCTTTTTACGCATCTGCCCTCACATGTGATCATGAGTGCTGGGTACTGGCCGAAAGAGTGCAATCCCGGACACAAGCGGCAGGAGGTGAGGTTTTTTTGAAGAATTGCTTATTTTACCAGGCCTCAGCAAGTTAGAATACTCCAGTTCGAAATACCCTTAGTTGTGAGCCGCTCCTTTACCAGATCAAAAGGTCCTGATTGCTATGGTTTGGACATTTGATGAAAATGCCGCTGAAGAGACTCGCCAGGCGCACAATCCTGACTAAGTCACAGAAAAGACAGCCCATGCGCAGATCGCGGACACGATAACTCGGTTTTGTAGATGACTGTAAATTGTCGGTATTTGGAATCGAATCCACTGAGCTTGTCTGTTTGGCGGCAGCTTGAAGCCATTGAAAACGCATATAAAGCAGCTGCCTCGGCCATTCGCAGTTGAAAATTTAATCAGTTATCCGCTATCCCCGGTTTGTTGTCGCTATGGATTCTCACAAACGTAATTTGACATCCCTTCAGTATTCTTTGTTTTTATTCGTTTTCTGCTTCCACCGCTGGCAATATAATTTGACCATGGGATCGTCTGAGCCTTGAACGATCGAATAGACGTTTGCGGAACCTAGTTTAAAATTCTTTACTTTCTCAGGCGAGCTACATGCCGACCCATCTCCTTTCTGTGTAGCTGAAGGCAGAAATCACGCCTTTTAATCCACACCGTTGTCGAATTTATGTGCTAACAACATGATTCCGGTGGATACGTTGCACATTCTTCGCTCTGTTACTCTTTGAGTGACAGTCAGTTTATTCTCCTCGGTTTTAGTATCAGACCAGCATCCAGCGCCGTGGATCATGGCTGATAGGACGGTTGAATAGAGCTTCTTCTTTCGCCTGCATGGGCAGCTGAATTTCAAATAACAAAATTTAGCATGATTAAAGTTGCCGCTTGTCGCTTTCCTTATCTTACCAATTTAAATGTTTAAAGAGTTCATGCGATCCATTTGACGG